GGGGTCCGGGGGGATTTGGGGGGTTTGAGGGGAATTTGGGAGGGGGGATTTGTGGGAGATTTCGGGGGGTTTGTGTAGAATTTGGGCAGAATTTTGTGAGGTTCGGGGGGATTTGAGAGGGTTCGGGGGGAATTTGGGGGAGTTTGGGGGGATTTGGGGGGGGATTTGGGGGAATTGTGTCGAATTTGGGGAGGATTTTGTGAGGTTCGGGGGGGTTCGGGGGGATTTGGGAGGGTTTGGGGGGGAATCCGGGGTGGATTTGGGTGGAATTTGGGGAGGATTTCTCGAGGTTTGTGAGGTTTGGGTCTATCTGGGTGGAATTTGGGGGGGATTTCTCAGATTTTGGGGAGGATTTGGGGAGGATCTGGGTGGAATTCGGGGTGGATTTCTCAGGGATTTTGGGGAGGATTTGGGTGGGATCTGGATGGAATTTGGGGGGGAATTTTCGGGTCTATCTGGGTGTAATTCGGGGTGGATTTCTCGGGGATTTGGGGGAGGATTTGGGGAGGATCTGGATGGAATTTCTCAGGGATTTCTCAGGGATTTGGGGGAGGATTTGGGGAGGATCTGGATGGAATTTCTCCGGGAATTTTCGGGTCTATCTGGGTGGAATTTGGCGGGGATTTCTCGGGGATTTTTGGGAGGATCTGGGTGGGATCTGGATGGAATTTCTCCGGGAATTTTCGGGTCTATTTGGGTGGAATTTGGCGGGGATTTCTCGGTGATTTTGGGGAGGATTTGGGGAGGATCTGGGTGGAATTTCTCGGGGATTTCTCAGGGATTTTCGGGAGGATCTGGATGGAATTTGGGGGGGAATTTTCGGGTCTATCTGGGTGTAATTCGGGGTGGATTTCTCGGGGATTTTGGGGAGGATTTGGGGAGGATCTGGGTGGAATTTGGCGGGGATTTCTCAGGGATTTCTCGGAATTCGGGGGAGGATTTCTCGAGGTTTGTGGGGTTTGGGTCTATCTGGGTGGAATTTGGCTGGGATTTCGGGGATTTCGGGGATTCTGGGGAGGATTTCGCACTCCCGGGGGGGTTCCCTCGGTGTGACCCCCTCCCCACGCCCCCAGACTCGCTGCTGCACCTGGCGGACAGCAAACACCTGGCCGTGTACCACAAGGGCCGCTACTACAAGGTGTGGCTTTACTACGGGGGGCAGCTGCTGGCCCCCGCCGAGCTGGAGATGCAATTCCAGAGGATCCTGGATGATCCCTCGCCCCCGCAGCCCGGGGAGGAGCGGCTGGCGGCGCTGACGGCCGGGGAGAGGTGGGGAAAACCGGGAAAATAACCGGGATAGTAACCGGGATAACGGGGATAATCACCGGGAAAACCGGGGAAATAACCGGGATAGTAACCGGGATAACGGGGATAATCACCGGGAAAACCGGGAAAATAACCGGGATAGTAACCGGGATAACGGGGATAATCACCGGGGTAATAACCGGGGTAATAACCGGGATAATAACTGGGAAAACAGGGATAATCACCGGGAAAACCGGGGAAATAACCGGGATAGTAACCGGGATAACCGGGATAATAACCGGGGTAATAACCGGGGTAATAACCGGGATAACCGGGATAATAACGGGGGTAATAACCGGGGTAATAACCGGGATAATCACCGGGAAAACCTGGGAAATAACCGGGATAGTAACCGGGATAACCGGGATAATAACTGGGGTAATAACCGGGGTAATAACCGGGATAACCGGGATAATAACGGGGGTAATAACCGGGATAACGGGGGTAATAATGGGGATAATAACCGGGGTAATAACCGGGATAACCGGGATAATAACGGGGGTAATAACCAGGATAATACCCGGAATAATACCCGGGATAATAACAGGGATAACGGGGATAATAACGGGGGTAATAACCGGGGTAATAACCGGGATAACCGGGAAAATAACCGGGGTAATAACCGGGATACCCGGGATAATAACCGGGATAATGGGCATAATAACCGGAATAATAACCGGGATAATAACTGGGATAACGGGGATAACCGGGGTAATAACCGGGATAACCGGGATAATAACCGGGGTAATAACCAGGATAATACCCGGGATAATAACCGAGATAATAACTGGAATAATAACCGGGATAATGGGGATAATAACCGGGGTAATAACCGGGATAATAACCGGAATAATAACCGGGATAATAACCGGGATAATAACCGGGGTAATAACCGGGAAAATAACCGGGATAATAACCGGGAGAATAACTGGGATAATAACTGGGATAACGGTGGTAATAATCGGGGTAATAACCGGGAAAATAACGGGGATAATAACGGAGGTAATAACCGGGGTAATAACCGGGATAATAACCGGGATAACGGGGGGATGATAACGGGGGGATAACGGGGGAATAACCGTGATAATAACCGGGTTAATAACGGGGATAATAACGGGGGTAATAACCCAGAAAACCGGGATAATAACCGGAGTAATAACTGGGGAAACCGGGAAGATCACCGGGAAAACAGAGATAATAACTGGGATAATAACCGGGATAATGGGGGGATGATAACGGGGATAATAACCGGGATAATGGGCATAATAACCGGAATAATAACCGGGATAATAACTGGGATAACGGGGATAACCGGGGTAATAACCGGGGTAATAACCGGGATAATAACCGGGATAATGGGGATAATAACCGGGGTAATAACCGGGAAAATAACCGGGATAATAACCGGGATAGTGGGGATAATAACCGGGGTAATAACCAGGATAACCGGGATAATAACGGGGGTAATAACCAGGATAATACCCAGGATAATAACCGGGATAATAACCGGGATAACGGGGATAATAACCGGGGTAATAACCGGGATAATAACCGGGAAATTAACCGGGATAATAACTGGGATAATAACTGGGATAATGGGGATAATAACCGGGGTAATAACCGGGATAACCGGGATAATAACGGGGGTAATGACCAGGATAACACCCGGGATAATAACCGGGATAATAACCGGGATAATAACCGGGATAATAACCGGGATAACGGGAATGCTGGGAATGCTGGGAATGCTGGGATTAACTGGAATGGGGGAATGGTGGGATTAACGGGAATGCCGGGAATAACGGGAATGCTGGGATGGGGGGATGGGCAACGGGAATGGTGGGAATGGGGGGTGCCTGGGAACCCTGGGAACACTGGGGACACTGGGGACACTGGGGACACTGGGGATAATGGGGACACTGGGAACACTGGGGACACTGGGGACACTGGGGACAATGGGGACACTGGGACACTGGGGACACTGGGGACACTGGGGACACTGGGGACACTGGGGATAATGGGGA